GAATTAGAAACATTAGAAAACTTTTTTTTTTCGTTATCCATCAATAGGGATTCAGTTTTGTAGTCACAGCATCTTTGGTTGGATGGCATCTCGTTGGAGAATACAACAGAGTCATAGAATCTTTCTCCATGAAATGTTGCTTCAAAAAGAGGTGTCAATATCAGAATATTTATTGTATCAATCTTAGTCGCTTGACATTTCCTAACTATGTTAGGTTATTTAAAGCGTAAGAGGTTTATTGATATGAGAAAAAAAGAGGTGTGTGAAAGGGGTAAAGACGCAAATTTTAGGTTTTACATTATGCAGCTTGCAGTGTTGTTATGTAACAGGAATGGCCATAGGCGGTTCACGAGCCGCGTGCGTCTCTCGCAGGGCAGTGGTGCTATTCTTACGCAAATAAAATATAATAAACTAAATAAATGTATGAAATATGATAAACTAAAATTACTCAGTGTCCAAAAGAAAGTAATTAATGAATTTAATTTCGTTTTTACAAAGTTATCAGCCGTTTCTTTCCACTTGAAACCAGTTTTTCTATTTTTAAAATTATGTAAATATGGACTTTTGGAAAATTTAGTTGAACTTTCCTGAATTCCAACATGCGGCGTTTACTGACATGAAGTTCAGCCATCTCTTTTACATAATATGTAAACCTGAATCTGAATATTGTAACACATATGAGGTAGACGAGTATTTTAAAATAGTGAAATACACAGGGCATATAGTAAGATACAAATGGAATTGTACCTTGAGAATATGCTGAACATTTTGTTATTTCAAAGGAAGGGTGAATCGTGCTAAAAAACGAGACACTACTCTGCGATCATATAACATAATCTTGCGAAGAACTATAGAAATTCACCAGTTAGGTAAAGTGAAATGCCTAAATGCGTTTTTATTAATAGGAACAGGCAAATACTATTACGTGTAATAAGGTATTTTCGTATATCATATTAATTACGTTGGAAAGGAATTAAATGGTGTAAAGTTATGCCTTTATTTGTTGCACACGAACTGAGCAAGTAAAGCAAATTAATAATAATAATTATTAGTATTAATGTTGTTAAAAGCAATAAAACGGCAGCATCCAAAAGGTATTTATGTATATATCACGCTATTAGTTCATGCACTTAGTAAGTCACTTGCTACGGAATTAAAACAAATACCTTACGTTTTAGCTAATAACTATCCGTATTTGAAATCTCCTGACCGTGAAATAAGTTGCAGCTATCCCCCCTTCCTTCTTCTCTCATCCGGGGGAGGCAGGGGGGGGAGAGTCGCTGGTCGACAAATTTGGCACAAACCGCGTCAGAAACGGACGGATCTTTTGTGGCGAGATACGGAAGCTGAGCACGTCGCCTGTGATACAAATCTGTGCAACCCGACTTACCAGAGACCATTCAAAGATGAAGTGCGACGAATGCATCTTGCTGTTCCACGTGATTGGGGAAGCAAACCTTTTTCGAATGAAATAGGGGTATTAATCTTTTGCGTCGTACCCAGACATCGTAGACCTCACTTCTGATCAAATGATCCATAGATGCGCAAGATTTTTTTTCCCTTGTTTATTCCTTTTGGAGAGGTATTCATCTATCATCTGCAATGATGCTTGTTTTAAGCTATGTTTTACATCATTGAATAATAATAATAATAATAATATGAAATTTAAAACAAAAAAAGAAAATTTTAAAGAAGGTAAAATCTTATTAAAAATCTTTAGGTATAATGGTTATTTGCTTAATATTGCGGTATCTAGAGAGCAATGTCTAACTTAAAAAATAAATAAATAAATAAACAGTAAATTCAAAAACAGCAAAGTAAACTTTTAAAACAGTAAATTCATGTTTTCCAAACCGTAAGATGCAATAAGACTTTCAATATCCAACATATCAAGTACTTCTAAACTTTAAATTTGCCTATAAAAAATAACAGTAATTTAATTGCATAATATTAGTGACATAATTAGGATAAGAATGAAAGCAGGTCTTGACTGACTAGTTTGAAATTTGTCATCCGAAGTAACTTGTTATTTCTTTTGCAGTTTGGTACTATTGATGACAAAAATTCCCCAATTTTGAACGGTTGGGGATCAAATAACTGAAATCATTGTCATTGAAACTGGTGTTGACATGATTTTGTGATTTTTTTTTCCTTCGTTGACATTCCTTGACGTCTTACGACAAATTAAAGAATAAACGCGTAAATAAATTTAGGAGAAATACGCTAAACTTAACGTATGTAGCTAAAAGTATGCTTTAGTATATTTAAACGCAAACTGGTTGTTCATAAAAGCAAACTGCATCCTATACTATACGTAAAGCTGCATATTGTTTGATAGAATGAATCTTTAGCTGCGGTTTTTTTTAAGCATTCAAATCTTAGAAGATTTCTTCTTCATCACAACACGAATCACACAAGTTTGCCATAGTGGAATTTTATTAAGTTTGTTTAGAAACAGAAAGTTAGGCGTGAGTTTCATTTCTACAGCTGCATCCTAACCCATCAAAAAATGTAACAGTTTCCTAGATGGGATATATGTTTTCTATGCAGACTTACAATATTTTACAAAAAACTAAACTGGAAAAACTGTGTTGGCTGGAAAAGACCTCACAGAGAGGTTCAAACTTTTCTGTTTTTAAATAATGAAGTTTGTGGGTTAGGTTGTTCCCACAGCGAATATATTCAAATCCTGCCGGGAGTCTGTTATGGGACTGAAGCTGGTTTCGAAAGGTTTTTCCATTTTTGCAATAAATATGGCTGAGTTTCTGCCCGCCATTTTCACAAATAATGGATCACGTTAATATTTGTGGCACAAGAAAGTTTTTTTAGCAAAAACAATACGAAAATGTTAAAAAAAAATGACGTTAGAAAACACAGGGAGTGATAACATTTTTCACATATCAAACTAATCTACATATTTTAAGGTAACTCGTAAGCTTACGAGAATTTAACATTATGAAACTGCCTGCATTAAAAGAAATGGGTTTTAGGATAAAAAGATTTTGAAGTAACATCATGTTAAATTCTCTTTCTATGTCGTTTCTTTGCTGTACTGTTTGTTATGTTTGTTTAAACGTTTTGTTAGCTATTCAGGTATATTTCAAATTCCTTAAACGTCAATATCAAATTCAAGTGTTCCAAAATTTTAATATCATATTTTAATGAATATTAAGTATGTTTTATGTGGGTTACGAGGAATGATATATATTGTTTTAAAATCATAAATCTATCTAAATGCTAAAGTCTCCACAAACTTGAAATATTGAAACTGTAAATAGATATGTATTTAAGCGCTTTGTTTGTCATAATATTTGAAAGCCTTATAAGAAAGGCAGTAGTATATGAATTAGTATCATATAAATAAGTGAATTTGAATCCAAGTAAATCTTGAGTGGTTTCAAAGTACTGTGTTTGTCCATTTTTGCTTTGCGACAAGCTAGTTTCATACTAGACTAGTTAAATACTAATTCGCTCTACTGTCATTTAAAAAGCAGAGTAAAAATAATAAATAGATGCATGTATTAAAGCATTAAAGATGTATTAAAGCAGTATTAGTTACGCACATGTATTAAAGCAAACCAGGCTTATGATTTTGCAAGAAAACTTATTTATTAGATGCAAGAAAATAAGGAACTTTAGGAAAGGAAAACTCAGCCTTGTATTTAGAACTGATTTCAAATTAAGATTCTCTGTCTTTAAGCAACAATCAAGGTAAGCAAAATGTTTTATCATAGGGAAATATTCTTATTTTTCTGAAACTTGCTCCTGATGAAAGGAGATCCGTTTGATATTGTCTCTCAAAGTGCGTTTGGAAGTTGATGATTAGAATCGATATTTAAGGAAATAGAGCTTGTAAGCTCTTTCGAAAACACTGTATATTATAAGAAACAAAAATAAGTTCTGTTACTAATGTATACGTATAAAATTTAGTGCCCTTATGTTAAATAGTTTTCCTGGTATTATTTAACTGTAAAGAGATGTTCATAGTAATGCCAGTTTGAAATAATATGCTTTTTTTCAGTTTGAGCAGTAATTTTTGCACCCAAAAAAATTTAATTACTAACGCAAACACAAGTAGAACAGTCATTAACCAAACGCATAAGAACGGTAACTCTGAATCAGAACGGTAACTCTGAATCATTTTAATTTCAATGATGAATTATTTTTACTTCGATTTAATCAAACATTTAGATTACATCTTTAATGAAAAACGTTGAGGCAAGTATGTAGAAGGTTATGTGGATTTGCCGTTCGGAAAGAATTAGTAGTTTAGATATGATTTTTTTTAACTGCCAGATCTGGCAGTCTTTAATTATTTTATGAAATTATGTATGAGAATAATGGTATTGTTTGTAATAAATTAATCGGTTGAGAATCATAACCAAATAGTAGTTCTGAAATTATCTCTCCTTCTTATCGAAGTATTCGAAACTTTTGAATTTTTAATTTCATATTCACCGGAAAGGCAATAACAGTGTTCGAAGGAATAATAAATGAAATTAGGTGCAGACATTATGATTAAAGTTACTAAATTGTTTTTATAGGTTATCTGAAACCATTTACTTTTCTGCCATTTCACAATAAAATAATTTTTAATTCAATATTCTCATTCCGTTAAACAACGCTATTCTCCCTTTACCAGCTCATGTGACATAAATCTCTTGGCTAATTTGGAAAATTGTCAAATTCCTACTATTCCTAAGCGGATCGGTTTATTGTAGCGTCATATTAAACCCCTTTATCATCTTACTAAGTAATTGCATTCAATTATTCAATCAACTCATTTGACTGAGAATATCACCTAACGGCACTTCCGAGAAAAACGATTCAGTCCTTTATCTCCAATTAAATGCATGCCTTTGACTAAATGCTATCTTGTTACGCAGTTTAGTCGGACTTTTAGGACTTGAGTCTTGTTTATATGCATATGAGTAGACAAGTGATAATTTCACTGTAATATCTCAGAGTAATTATTTACTGATTTCCAGGATAGATTTTCTGCATACGAGAGCGAACGATTGATCAACAACTCTAAATTGCATAAATTGGATAAATACTGAGGTAGGAATTTACACTTTTTTTAAATGGCAGATTACTTTGTCATTGCTTAGTTATTCTTTTAAAATAATTGTAAGATTTTATACATTTATTTTCTACAGTTAATACATTCTAATTTTAAATAGCAAGTGCATCTAAAAGCCTAATTTGTGCAAAAAGGTCTATCCGAATTTTTTTTTTTTTTTTTTTTTTTTTTTTTTTTGCCTGCTAATTGCGTATCTGTAAGGTTTACAAAATCATAAAACTCTTAAGATCTAGATTAGTTTGAGATAGTTTAGAAAATAAATTCCGAGCACTGTGGCCAAGAAAGTAATGATTAGTCGATTTTGCGCGTTTGCTGCTTAAATTGTCCAATATCGATTAAGCATCTCCTTTAAATCAATGTTTTTGCTATCCAAATGCCTTGATTACTCATTTTGCGTTCTTTTTTAATATAAAATCTATATTAATAATCAGCAGCCTGGTAACAAAATTTTAACAAATAGTTTATTTTTATATTTTAATTCAAAAATTTAGCTTTAATATATTTTCTAATTTTTTAATTATATTTTATGCTTTGAAAAATCAATTTTTACGCTGCTGTCAAAGAAAACCCTTTCTAACACAAGCCCATACACGTGCTTAACATTTACACAACCAATTTAAAGAACAAATGGATTGGATTGGATTATTTAATTATGGCAAAGCACACGAGGCTATCTGCCTAAAGGGAGGGATGCCTTCGTGGGGGACTTTCTAAGGGAAACTGACTCGTATACACGTTACACAAAGGGGAAAACCACGAAAACGCTCATGCAGCCAGCCCGTTCGCGGGATTTGAACCTCGAAACGAAATACCAGTGTTCAACGTCTTTACCTCTCGGCCGCTGATGGACCAAGAAAAAAGGTAACGGAGAAAAAGTTTGCATTTATATGCGTGCTGCAGTTATTTTAATTAAGAAAACTGATAGGAATTATAGCTAGATCAAGTATTCAGCATTTTATTCACGTTAAATGAACACATATATATAGTATGTTAAATGTACCTCATAAAAATATGTACCTGATGCTTATTTTTTAATCAGTAGCCTTGAAACTTATATCGAAATTTGTTATGTTATTTACATTTGGATGGAATAAGACTTCATAATGAATTATGAGATGATGCTTTATAACCACTTACAGTTACAGGTCTTATCAATGCAAAATACTATATATGTAAGGAACGAAGGATGAGTAATATTTTAATATTGATTTCTGTTTTAAAATTTAAATGGTCACTAATAGTCGAATAGCGAAAACCGAGAATTGCTGATGATTTCATCTAGAATTTGACTGCTGACAGAAGAAAGAACTGATTGCAAGGATGTTATCCCAATTTTCCAGAAGATTAATGTAAATGCAAATTAGTATCTCTTTAAAAGTTCTCCTCGAAGGCACACTTTCTTAAACAAATAATTACCAGATTCTGGACCTGAGGTACCCTCCCTCTCAAAAGGTGCAAGATGGGATTTTCGGGGGTATGACGTAAACTACTGAGTGCCCTTGAGGGACGAATCACGAGTCATTACTCTGTTTAAGAATCATAGACCTTCATTCCAAAATGTAAGAGCACTTTTATAATGATGTGTGAATACTAATTAAACATTTCCTAGACATGTGAGACATAGGAAAAAGCTGGGAACAATTGATGTAGTGCTTTTTAGAATTCAACCATATTATAAGAGAGACATTAAATTTAGCATAAAAAGGCCTCATTCCTGGTTTTGTTGTTGTTACTTATCTGACTTGTCAGACAGTAGTATCAGAAGAATAAGTCCACGAATTTTATTATAACGAAAAGAGCAAAATTCTGCCTTTGGCATGGTCTTCGGGCTCCTCATAGGCAACAGTATGACTGCCCATCTTCGTCCCAATTTTGAATGCGAATCCCCGGGGAACGAATCCAATGATCTCTCACTTCTCCTCTATCACTAGACCTCTCAGAAGACTTTCAGCTAGCTGTGCATTTTAAGTGCTCCCATGCTGCAAAGGTATTATATATTTACAAACATCCAAGGCTTCTCCGAGGTTCCAACGGCAGACATAGTAATCGCTACGGAAAACATTTCTCGTAATTATTCTTAGAAATAGTAATTACTCTCGAAAATGACATTCAGATTATTCTTGTGTTAGCCTAATACGATTCATTAAGGCGTAAAACGTTTTTCCCTGTTGCAACTATACTGCATTTTCAAAGAAAGCTTAAGGTAAGCAGAAGTTAGGAAGTAATTCATACTCATTTACTTTTCCCAGATTGTTTGAACTTTTCCTTCTAAATACCTTTTCAAAAGAAATTGCTTCATTTTAAATTTATTTTTCATAATCTATTATGATCTGAGTGTTATAATAACATTAAAGATGCCATTATCAAATCGCATATTGATGTTGGAGTAGATTAATTGCAAAAGGTACAATAATGACCGATTGTTTTGCCATCGTCGGATCCTTGAATTTAATTGCAAGAAACAGACCTATCAAACTTCCATACTACAGTTAATATATGTCAAGCCTTAAGACTGTTCAGGTGGAGGAACCGAATCATTGCCAATATTTTTTTTCATCAAATGATACTTCTTTTCAGTTCTTTAATATAATTTAGTTAAGTAGATGCAATTAGCTATTCCCTTAGTTAGGCAGTTTTTTCCGAAAGCAGGGAAGTCAGTACTCCCCCCTTCCTAATTTCAGTGTTAATGCAAAGTTTTCCTGTCTTCATTTGTCTGTTTTTTACCACTGATGAGATCAATGAGTGAATCCTCTAACAATATTGCTAATACTTTCAATTTATTAATAGGGAAATTATAAGGACCTTCAATATACTTTCTAAAGTTCACTATCTTCAAATACAGGAATAAGATAGATAGTCAGATCTTTTAAATCGGAAAAAAGTAACGCGCCTTTACCAGGCGCGTTACTTTTTTCCGATTTCCGAACTGATCCCAAGAAAACCAAAATTGGCGCAGATTTTATTTTAGCGGAAGCGTTTTTAGCAACTAGAACGCTACTGCCTTTTTCACTTTTAACTAAATAAAAGACAAGTGCCATAAACAGAAGGATTCTTCATGCTGTTCTGTTTGTGGTACATGTCTTTCAATCGCGTTTTCTTCTGCTGTAAGTAAAATCTTCACCAGCAGCTCTAAAATCTTCACCAATTATAGTCGGTTTTTCTAGAATTGTAGTTTTTCCTTTCTGTTGTACATTTAAGTGTGCTGTCTATTAATAGTATGTTTGATTACGATGTACGTTCACACATGCTATTTTAGGCTCAAAATTTTTAATGATGTATTTAAAACTATGAAGCAGTGGTGCTGGTTTTGTTTGATTTTTCCCCGAAAATTATATATTGAATCGCTAAATTTCCCGATAGTAACTCTCTAGACGACGTCTCCGCATATATTTTGGATGAAGAAAATTAAAAATTTCGAATATCCCTTTCGAAGTTTTCTGTGAAATTGAACGTATCGATTCTGGAAAAGTCTGCAATTTGTGATTAGACTTTGTAAACTGTGGCATTGTGATGCTGATTTAAAGCGTGTTATCTGAAACTACATGAGTGAGATATTTGAACCTGTTATCTGATTTGAAACTAGTCAGCAGGATAATTTCATGTATTCTACACATTTTTTAAACCACTGAACCGGTAATACATCTGCCAAATCATAGATCCATTTATTGTAAATCCGGTAGAGTGGGCTTCATGGAAGAATGGAAATTCTTAAAGGTCATTCTGCAGTTCCGAATCAGTGTTATTGATTAGAGTTGATTTTACACAAAATGTTTTTAACTTACTAAATGAATACTTAATTCTAATAGTTCAAAGAAGTTCGAAAAATTTCGCAATTTTCCGTTTCGTTCTGGAACAAGTCATTGTTTGTTTAATTATTTTTAATAGGATACATATCAAACAATGCAGTTTAGATTTTGAAAATGTAAATATTTCATCCATACAACGAGTTTGTGAAATGTATATTTATAACCTAGGAAAATTCTGTACAGAGCGCGATTAAGATGATTTTCTCGTAAGTGCACAAAGAAAGTGCAGACACAAGTCTTGCCAAATATTAATGCTTCCAAATCAATCATGATATAAAAATACTTTTTATTACTAGAAAGAATATTAATAACTGGAAGTAATTATATGACATAGTATGAATGACTTCTTTATTATATTCTATAATATTCTACGGGACATAATGTTAAATTCTGAGGAATTCTTAAATTCTGTTTTCCTGAAGACAGCCAAGCGACTTGTCGTCGGTTCTTATTCCTTCAGTAAAGTAACATCAATTCAAGAAAAGACAGGACAAAACCGTTTCTTAGATCTTCAGTTTAACAATTTAGACAGCTCTTGTAATAACAGAAGACTCCTCTGCTTGTGGGTTTAACTGAACACAAACGTTAAAGTAAAACTTAAGTATTTTATAATGTGACAAGACAAACTGATCTTATAAGTTTTGGTTCAGGACCTCGAGTCACGCGAGGAAATACCGCTAAAGTCGATTTAAGAAAATTTAGAAGTTAGGCGAAACTAGAATTGAGACTGTCAGCAGTCTCTGTTCTGAAGTTCTTTTCCTTTAGAAATTCTCTTCTTATATACATTAATTAATTTACCGCCCAGACGGTATAGTGGTTAGGGGAGCCGACTGTGATACCGAAGGGCCTGGGCGCGAATCCTGTAGAAGGCATGAATGTAAATTGTCTGTCTCTTCATAGGAGGTAACGGTGGTCTCTTGTTAGGTGCTTCCATAATAAAATGATCACCACTTCTGGCCTTAGTAGTGGCGAAAGCTTAAAAGTGGCTAGTGCCCGGCAAAAAAAAAAAAAAAAAAAATCCTGGTGTAAGTCGACGAAAGTAGGAGTGCTAGTACAGGCAAGATAATAAGATAAACATGAAACCCTACAAGATTACACCCAGTTCAGGTAAATATTTAAGGTGGCTTATTCTGAATTTAAAGGTAAAAACGTATGATAAACCCACAAAGCTG